TGAAATGAAGGTCCCTCTAAGAATGTTATCTCAGGAAATTCATCGAAACCCAATTTTTCTTCGTATCTACAATATTAATTGTAGTTAACAAGATTAAAGAAGTTTTTATCAGATGCGGAATGGACAACTGGACAATTCTACTCGGTTCCTGATTTTGCCTTCCTGACAGATTGTGAAGAAGTTGGGTGAACTACTGGGAATATGGAGCATAAAAACAATGTAAAAAGATAAATTAACTCTATCTTCGGTAGTTCCTTCGCTTAGAGAATATTCACAAGGGCATAGGACATATTTGCACAACTCAACAGTCTTCCCTGCGTGAAAATCCTCTTTCGAGAATTGAAGAGAAGTTGTGATTTAAGAATCCGTTAATAAATTGATACTGGCGTACCTTTCATTTCGTTTGAGAAGGTGGGTCAAAGTTATTCGTAGATTGGCCGCACCGGTCATAAATCAGTGATTACGTCAGGCCCAGAACATAAAGGCTTAATGACTAAAGAAACAGCATGATTGAGATTGAGTAAGCCAGAGTAACCTAGATTGAGATGACCAAATGTAAGCCTGCACACAAGTCAGGTTACGGGTGATGATTGACAGTTTAGTGAAGTAGCTTATGCAAGTAGAAGCTTACCAAATCCGCTCACGTGTTCTCTTGGGTCCTTCTGCCATTACGACCCGGGCTTGATGCTAGGCTCATTTGTAATTATTCCGATTTATCTTATTTATATTAAGGAGTATATATATATATATGTGTGTGTGTGTCAAAACAACCCAAATGCTGGTCGAAAGCATTAGCGATGGGCCCCAAACCAGAATGACAGCTACAAACAGCTAGTTTTACTTTTTCCGGGTTCGGTAAAGATTAAGGACGAGTCACACGGCATAGCGGCCCATTTGATATGGAAAGATATTCACTAAGCATCGCTATAAAGATAAGACGAGCCCAGGTATTATTAGTAAGGATTAGGAAGCCTGCATCAGCTAACTGCACGGTGAGAGGGCGGACTTGACCACAATTTTATATCTCAGAAACCTGGCTGCCACTACTATTCTTTTCAAATACATAAAGAAACGGTAGGACAGGCCGGAGGAAATATGAATGTATAATTACAGATTGAATGAAGGGGGGGGGGAAATTATTCCACGTAGAATAGCTCACGGTTGTAGTATTACCCTTCGAAAATAAGCGTTTTTTGAGTGAGATAATCACCGTGCCCAAAGGGTAAAAATATGACTCAAACGAAGAAGTCCTCATTCAGGATATGGTGAGGAAATGCGGAATAAGTGAAGTAACAAATTGTCCTCGGGAAGACAGAAAGCATAATTATGCAAAGTAAATGGTTGAAAGAAAAGAAATAGGCCGAACGTTAGCAACGAAGCAATATCTTGTTTATTCAATTTTGAATTTTACAGATAAGTAATGCACACCCCTTGATAGAGACTTCTGTTCATCTACGGTTTGGTAGAAAAGAGGTTCATGGTACTGGACAACAGACTTCATGCGGGCGCCTATGCGCACGACTGTCTCAGAATCTAAACAGTCACTCGTCCAAATTGACTGCATCAGCTAACTGCACGATGAACTAACCTAGTATCTCAGAAACCTGGCTGCCGCCATTATTATTTTCAAATAAATAAATATACGGTAGGAGAAAAGCCTGAGGAATTACGAATGTATATTTACAGAGTGAATGTAGTAGGGGAAAATTATTCTAATTAGAATAGCTCACAACTTTAATATTACCCTTCGAAGATGAGCGTGAATGACATAGTCCAACATAGAAAAGTTTTTGACTTAGGCAACCACCGTACCCGAGGGATTAAAATGTGACTCAAACAAAGAAGTCTTTGTACAGGATATGATGAGAAAAATCGGGACAAGCGAAGAAACAAATTGTTCTCGGGAAGTCAGAAATCGTCATTATACAAAATAAAAGAAGTAGGCCGAACTTTAGTAACGATGCCCTATCTTGTTATTCCATTTTGAATTTTCCAGATAAGTAACCAACACCCTTTGATAGAGACTTCTGTTCATATACAGTTTGGTAGAAAAGGGGTTCAGAAGGCTGGACAACAGACATCAGGCGGGCGCCTATGCGCATCACTGTCGCCAAATCTGAACAATCCCTCGTCCTAATTATCAACATTAATCCTCGAGATAGAAATGGAAATAGGGCCCTATAAATCTGATCGTCCTCCATATCACTTTTCCACGTACTTTACAACATCAGCAGGAGTGTTTTCTCCCAATATCTGGGTAAAAGACAGATGGATACAATGCGGTCATGAAGCGTTCGGATATAATACAAACATGCGAAGATATTTAGATGAGAGAATGTAGGCTACCAGCCATCTCCCATAGTGAGGTTATGAAGTAATAATTAGAGTTTAAATGTAGTTTTCGAAAAATTATTCCACTGTTCACAGCTTTAATATTACCCTTCGAAAATGAGAGTGAGAGACCAAGCTTAATATAGAAAAGTTTTTGACTGAGACAACCACCGTGCCGAAAGGATAAAAATGTGACTCAAGCCAAGTCTTTGTACGGGATGTGATGAGAAAAGGCGGGATAAGTGAAGAAACAAATCGTCCTCGGGAAGTCTGAAACCGTCATTATACAAAATAAGTGGATTGAAATAAAAGGAATAGGCCAAGCGTTAGCAACAATGTACTATCTTGTTTATTCAATTTTGAATTTGCCAGATGATTAACCCACACACTTTGATAGAAAAAGAGTTTCAGGCTGCTGAACAACATGCTTCATGCGGGCGCCTATGCGCATCACTGTCTCAGAATCTGAACAGTCACTCGTTCAAATTGCCAATTTCGATCCTCGAGATCGAGACTAAAAGAGGGCCACACAGATCTGATCGTCCTCCTTATTACATCCCCATGCGCTTCCCAACATCAACGGGAGTACTTCCTCCCAATATCTGGATGGAAAAGAAATTGGTAGATTGCGGTCGAGAAGAGTTCGGATACATTCCGAACGTGCGAATATATTTTAACGGGAGAATGTAGGCTACCTCAAGGGAGCTGCCGTGTTAAGGTTATGAATGCATAATTACAGATTGAATGTAGTTTCGGAAAAATTATCACACGGCTCAGCTTTAATATTACCCTTCAAAAATGAGTGACTGACCAAGCCCAAAATAGAAAAGTTTTTGATTTAGGCAAACACCGTGCCCGAAGAATAAAAATGCGACTCAAACCAAGAAGTCTTTGTACAGGATTTAATGAAAAAAATCGGGATAAGCGAAGAAGCAAATTGTCCTCGGGAAGTTAGAAATCGTCATTATAAAAAATAAGTGGATTGAAATAAAAGGAATAGGCCAAACGTTAGTAAAGATGCACTATCTTGTTATTCCATTTTGAATTTTCCAGTTAAGTAACCCACACCCTTTGATAGAGACTTCTGTTCATATACAGTTTGGTTCAGGGTGCTGGACAACAGACCTCATCCGGGCGCCTATCCGCATAACTGTCTCAGAATCTGAACAGTCACTCGTCCAAATTGCCAACTTCAATCCTCGAGCTCGACACTGAAAGACAGCCCCACAGACCTGTTCGTCCTCCTTATCAGTTTCCCAGGCGCTTCCCACCATCAACATGAGTATTTCCT